ATTAAACAATTTAAATACAGTTAATGGTTTTACAGCTTTAAACTTTTCACTGCTAACATTAATGATGGGTAATAAGGAAATTTTTTTTGCTTATAAAACTGAACTGATTTTGCGAATACTACTATAAAATTGATAGAAATAAATAAGGAAATAGGCAACTTTGTGTCAGTAAATTACCGATCGATTATTATTGCACAATTTTTGGACTTTTTAATGTTCATTAGGTAAAGCAGAACTGACATTTAGTTTATTTATTTTTTATTCTTTATTAATAGTACAGTAATAATTGACTATGTCATCTGTCTATTTTTGGGTTCTTAAGAAACATTATCAAATTGTCTTCAAATGAATAATTATTAATTTTTTTTTTGGAAACAGACTTTTCTGTCGTCTGTCATTGTTCATGTATTTGGTTACCGTAAATGTATAACTGTTTTAAGTGTATCCTCTAAGCGTCTTTCTAATCAACAACAGTGATCGTTAGTGTTGACAGCTATATGATTCCTGATGACAATGATAGATAAACTTATTCCAGCAGCAGCATCACTCTAAAGTTTCCAAAAAAAAAAAAAAGTTGTTTATTATTGCCCAACTGTCAAACAACATACAAAGGTTAAGCAATGCTAAACACTAAAATTATACAGCATTTGAAAAGTTGCGAGAAAAATACGAATAATAACCAACGGTTTTTTTTTTCAAGTAATTCTATTAATTTTTGAAACAAAAGTATACGTTATGCATTTCTGATGACGTCTTGTCTTTTTTTTTCTTCTTCTGTTGTTTGTTTGACTGTTTATTTTTCCTTATATTCTTCAGTCTGATGAACTATGTGAGGAAAAAGAAAACAAAAAAAAGTTTTGTCTAAAATTGTTTCTGTTGTTAGAGGAAGAAAAAAAAAGTGAATCAAAAATAAATGAACTGAACAGTAAGCGTAAAAAAAAGAATTTGACTTGTTTTTCCCCAAACAATCACAGCAAATGAAGTTTTTTTTTTTTACAATTAGACAATTACAAGCTTTAGAAATAAATTTTGATACGTAACCAACGATTTGTAGCCCTCACTTATTTTCCAAGTCTTCTTCAAAGATTCTCTGTATCCTCCAGTCGCTTGCAGAAAGTTCATAGTTGAAAAATTGAAAACATTCTCCTTGTTAAAGATTTTAACATTTCTGAACACACTTTTTGGTTTCAGCGGTTTAGAAAGTTTACTGATAGCACCATAAAGTTTTGCTTTAACTTCTCAACTAAGTGAAAAAACTACTGCAGTAACCAAACAAAATCTCCCCCTCCCCCCAGAAAAAAAAAAAAAAAAAAAAAA